ATTTGTATATATAATATTATCTTTACGGTCCGTTAAAGTATTTGGTCCACACCGGATAGCTATAAAACAGTAAAAAACTATAAGACTTTAGTCTGCTCCTTCTACCAGGTTGACCTTTTAGATGAAACTCGTGTCTTATCATGGTATCAGAGCCAAGTCCGGATGTGCTTTGACCGCTTGTTTAATTAGACCCATGATTAAGTGCGGCTTGTTAAGCTGGGTTTGTTTGACCCATTTATTCAACTGATATTATCCAGCCCGCTTCAAGCTGAGACGTCGTGCTAAAGTATTTGTCGCACACTGAAAAGCTATAAGACAATAAAACATTATATAAAACTTTGAATGACTCCTCCCATCATACACTTTTTATGATGGAATCCCATGTACTAACACGACCATTTACTTTACATAGCTATGGGCTCATAAAATATCGATCATGAGTCATGACTACCCCTGATCCATTTTTTTAATTTTATACTAATTACTTTATAATTAATATCATTATATAGCTATTTAATGTTTACCTCAAATAGTATTGTTCATTGCCAAGACTTGCGATAAAATATAGACAAAAAATGATGCAAGAAAGGCAACAATTATTTCTATGAATGAAAAAGGCAACAATAAATTTACCGACAAATAGATCTTTTATTACCACGTATATTAGACCACGAGCCACAACAATACAACGTGGGTCGGCGGGGGTTAGAGTATCTTAATCCATCGTTAATCACATTCATGAAACTAAATTTCAACGTGAAGCCATGTTTTTCTATCTTCTAATTTAGGGAACTAGAGTGACTTGCATTCAATAATTTCACACGTGCATCTTCCGCGCTGTAGATGAAATCAGAAGTAAGTAAAATGGAAAAGAAAATTTTATACTAATAATCCGACCTATAACTGGTCTTCCCAAAACGATCCCAATTACTAATAATCCAAAACCAAACCAACCTTTGTATCCTCTCTTCCGTTAACAGTCCCTGTGACTTGTGACCGGCTAAAAAAGTAAACATTTTATCGCCAAATCACAGACCAATTGCTGGAATACCTTCGACCAATAGCCATCTATGGAGTATTTGGAAGTTTCTCAACTAGAAGATGGACAGAGAACGACGGAGTTGATGACAGATTTCTCTAATTTGATTCCTAATTTCCAGATCGGTATAAAACTATATAGGGAAAACTGTCAAATAGGTCATCGAACTTTTATAAAAAGGTCAAATAAGTCCTTATATAGAAGGCTTTGTCCGGCTGTCGCGATTTGAGGTGGTTCCTGGTGGAATTTTTATTTTTTGATGAAATTTTTTTAGCATCTTATTCATCAAGTCTAGTTTACTCATACCAAATTTCAGCTAAAACTTCAATCGGGAACGCATTCAAATTCATTCTTGAAGATAATTGCGCATTTAACCGCACAGTTATCTTGAAGAATTAATTTGAATGCGTTCCCGATTGAAGTTTTAGCTGAAATTTGGTATGCGTAAACTAGACTTGATGAATAAGATGCTAAAAAAAATTCATCAAAAAATTCTACCGGGAACGGCCCCAAATCGCGACGACCGGACAGAGCCTCTTATATAATGACTTATTTGACCTTTTTATAAAAGTTCGAGGACCTATTTGACAGTTTTCAAAAAGACAAAGTGGAAATGAAATTTGACTTTGGGAATAGAAAGGGCATAGAAAGTCCAATGAGCAAGGAAGAGGGATATGAAAGGGTCCGACCACTATATACTACGTATATGTATACACGAAGTCCCCAACCTGAAATAAGACTCAGTTGTGCACAGTGTACTGGACTGCCGGAAGGGGTAAAGCCGCCGTCGGCTGGATCGCTGTCGTAGCTCGCCGGAGTCGCCACCAGAAGGAATAGCACCTACAGTCGGCTGGATAAACTGCCTCGAACAAGCCAAGGTACGTAGGCCTGTCAATGGGTCGGGTCTAGACCCGGACCCGACCCGGACCCGGACCCGGTTGTTTTTAACGGGTACGGGTCTATATTTTATTCCGTTTACCCGGACCCGGATCCGGACCCGTTAGTACTTTTAATAAACGGGTCGGGTATGGTACATATGAATCCGACCCGTTAAAGACCCGAACCCGTTTAAAATTTCTTATATTTATACCCACACACTAATACATAAAGTAATTAGTTATAACACTTGAAATAAAATAAAATAAAAAACTAATACACACATGTATACATAATAATACATAGAGTTATTGATTGTATTTTTTCAATTAAAAATATACACACTAATACATACCTACTATATAAGCGATATTGATAGGGATAGTGAGATAACCTAAAACTAATATCCATTTTGGTCGTTTATACATACTGATAAAGTGTGTATTAGGCTTGGTAGGCAAAGCATAATATTTATTATTATTGACAATATTATTATACCATTATCGTATATAATACTCCGTATGTCATTATACTCTCAGTAGTCCAAGATACATTTTTGTGACTTAATTTCTAGTTTATTTTACGAGCTTTTTGTGCGAGAAAAAGCGACACAGAGTGTGTAGTTATACGTCTCTACAAGAACCGATATTTTACTGGATAAAAGTATTAATTTTCTATGAGAAATCTTGTTTTTTGTATAATTAAGATATATTTTGCTTTTAAATTTGCACACTTTGTTTTACATTTTATTTATAGGCCTTGTTATTTTGACAAAGTCTAGAATGGGTCCGGTTCTACCCGACCCGGTTCCGAGACCCGTTGGGTATGGGTCTGGGTCCAAATTTCCAGACCCGCTGGGTAAACAGGTCGGGTCCGGATCCATTTTTAACTTAGCGGGTCCGGGTCTGGAACACTACGTTCCGGCCCGGACCCGACCCATTGATAGGCCTAAAGGTGCGATCGGTGTGTACTTATTCTTAAATAAGTACAACGGTCAACATTTGACATTTGCCGAGACACAACTTTGACCATTAATATATATAATTCTCTGTTAGTAAAAAAAATTAAAAAAATCAGATTTTGAAAATTTACAATGAGACAAATTTAGTAATATTTATTTCAAAAATATATATTAATACATCAATAAATAAAATGTAGTCAAAGTAGAACATGTGAATAGTGTAAAATTTAAAATATCGCACTTATTTAAGAACAGAGGTAGTATGTTGTGGTATGAGGAACAGAGGAAGTGCGAAGGTGAAGTTAGATGAGGGCGTCGATATGTTGTCGCAGGTATTATATTATTTAAAATCTAACCGGTATAATTTTTTTAATGAAAACTTAACTAACCTGTAAATTTTTCATTGGGACTGTTGAGAGAAGAAAGGATATAAAGGTTGGTTTGTTTTTGGATTATTGATAATTGGGACCGTTTTGGGAAGACCAGATAAAAGTTGAATTATTAGTGTCAAATTTTCCAAAGGGAAATTACATTTGTATATATTGTGATTTAAGATGTTTTTACTTTAATTTGTTGGTCTGGTTCGGTCCAGTGTAAATGACCACTTTAGCTATTTGTGATATAGTTTTTTATTTTATTTTATTAATAAAATACACTGTATATTTAAATATGTTTTTTCAATAACCCATACCAATTTTAACCGTCACCAAATAGGTTCTATATGGGTAAAATTAGGAAGTTTATCAATCTAGGACCTGAAAGATAGACGAATTATTAGTTTGGACCTGAAAGATGAAATATGTCGAACTATCAATTTAGAACTTGAATGATTGAAAACTGTCAATTCAGGACCTAAGTTGTCATGAATTTTATTACTATTTTATTTAAAAAAATTAAATACTCCGTATTATTAAACTAATAAACTTTTGTGAAGAAAAATTTATAAAAAAACTAGAAATGGAATTAATAAAAATTAAACAAATCAAAACATATGAAATGATAGGTCGCATATTGATATTTTCATCAATTGAGTCCTATATTGATACGTTTCATCTACCTCTCATGTTCTGAATTGATAAAATTCGATAAATTTATTGGGATTGAAAAGTTCACAAATTATCAACACAAATAATTATTTTTGTTATTTACGAGACAATGGCCGGTTTGCAATGTTGCATGTCATTTACATTAGTGTGCTCGTCCTGTCGTCCATTTATTTTGTAAGAATACAATTTTTAATGCGCCTGATATTTCTTGTAGGAAAATATCTGTATGAAAGATTCTCGTGTGTGAGCTCAACCAAGTTTTTGGGGTTGGGCTGACTGCTCTGCGGTGCTACGATGTGGGCTGGGTCAGCTTTGGACAATATTCCAACTTGACTCCCAGCTGTAGGCTCTGTTTATTTGGGCTAGACCACTTCCTTGTACTGTCCGGCCCCATTGGCACTTAGGCCATATCCTCATGTTCATGATCCATTGATGGGCCCTCTCCTTTTCAGCTGCTGTTGAAAAAGGCCTTTTTTTTACGCACTCTACTGTTGCGTAGATGTGTGGTAGATGTGTGTAAAAGTGTGTACATTAAGATTTGTTGATCCATGTTTGTATAAACTTTGTATAAACTTTGAACATGTTGGCCTTAATTGATAATTTCTAACATATATAATCCCAAAGCTAAAAAAGTTTAATTTTTGAATTTATAGGAATAATAAAAGGATTAATTTAAACCTAAATACTGATGGTACCCGATCTTGCAAGTAATAATATCAAATAACAGATGATTTTACTTCAACAGAATTCACCGTTGTAGGAACTTGTAGCTTAGTGCTAATTGATTAGCTCATCTAATTAAGTTTCACTCTAGACTCAATAATAATTACATCCAAATTTAAGAGCTCATTTAGGAACACTAAAATTAGCTAAATTTGAGGAAACTTTGATTAAAAAACAACTTAATTGACTGCACTATGAAAGAATTATGTTTAAAATGTTTTTTATTAATAAAAAAAGAAAAATAGGAATGAAAAAGCAGGTAAAATGATCTTCTACCACAACTTCTATCAATTCAGCTAGAAAAGTAACTTCAACCTTACTTGTTTTGATCGTCACATAATTCAACACGCGAAATAAAAATAAAAATTATTTAGACTGAAATTTTTAACCTGGTCAGATCTAAAATAAATGTATAGCCTCTGTACGTGTACGTTTTATGACTGTCCAAATCTGGTCTGATGAAAGCAGTTCAACTAAAAACATGACCATTATGGAGCGCGAGATATCATCAAGTTTCATAGTACAACAGAGATTTTGTATGCTACTTCAAAGAAACACACACAAAACGCTAACTACGTCAAATCTGTCTAAATTCATCATATGTGAAGAACCCCAAAAACAAATCATCATATAATCACAAACACACGATTATATATATAGACTACACATAGTTAACCTGCTGCACTCTTCTCATGCCCTCTTCTTGTCCTTCAATGGCCCTTTAGGAATTTTGCTCAGTACTTTCTCATCAAACACTGCATATTGCTTCTTCACCCACACCATCGCTTTCTCCCCTAGCGGATCGATCTTGTCTTCATACTTCTCATATATCACAGGAACAGTGTGCAGTGCTACAAACGCTGTTCCAGTGAAAAGAAATTCATCATTACCTCCTACCGTTTCTAATAAAACTGTGCACTGGGGTAATTTTCTAAAATCAAGTATAACGCTCCCATTTGAAACGGCATGGTTTGGGCAAAAATTACACAATTGCTGGGTGTACTTACATATATAGAACAATGATAAAAAGTTGCACCAACTGCCAATAACTGAGAGGATCCATAAACCAGCAATTACCTAGAGACAAAGAAAGAAGAAAAAACAGTAGGTTATCAATTAATCATCAAATAACCACCATTAAATTGTTATAAACGGGATTTTTTCTAATATAGAACTCATAGACAATTTTTATGACTAAAAAGTCACTAAAGTCTATGTCAGCATGAAATAGTATCATGGTTACAACATTGTAAATTAGAACTGTAATGTGGTCACCAGTCCATGCCAAATAGCACTAGGGTCACTGCATATTAAGGACCTCTTCACTTGGAATTGTTTCCCTCCCGAATCGGACCGGATCACATTAGACCACACTGGACTAGAATTAAACCAATCATACCAACACTAAATAAATAAATAATACTCTCTTTGTCCCTTAAAATTTTGACAAATTCAACCCGGACAGAGAATAATAAAGTAAAACATGTGTAATTGAAGTGAGGAGACAGAAATAACCAAAACCACTAATGAATTGATATAAGGGAATGTGACAATGTTTTTTATACAACAATAAAAGGAAATATGACAATGTTATAAAGGCTGGAGGCAGTAATAAAATACACTGTTATGACCCGATCTGATCAGATCTAAACCGACCAGATCAACTTATTACCAAAAAAATTGAACCAAATGAATAGGTCCCCAAGGGTAACACTGTTGTCTATTACTTTATATAGTCACATACTACGTATTTATTAATATTTCATTAATGAATGACTAGGAGTCTAGGACATTGATTTTATACTAATTTATCACTTTGAGGATACCCTCTTTTTTTAAATGTCAAGGTGATGTTTTGAAAAGAAATAAAAAGTAACCCTTCCCGATGCAAAGATAAAAGGGGATGTAGCCTTAGGTAGTTAGGTGCCAAGATTATAAAATCAGACGCTTACAACAAGAAACATCTTCAGGTCTCTTCCGGATGCAATTTCTCGTAGTAAATGCAAACCACTGTTTATATGAATTCTCAAGGCAGAAGCAACCTGAATGAATGGATCCTTTGGAATGTGGACTTCAGGGATTCGGGGAGGAGACCTGACAAAATAATAATTATGTACATGTTCAGTATGAAGGACAGACCCAACTTATCCATATACTCCCTCCGTCCCATTTTACCTGTCCAACTTTCATTTTTGGGTTGCCCAAAATAAGTGTCTCTTTTCCTTTTTTGGAAAGAAATATGTGGCTTACACTATTACACTTTATTATACTCAAACCTCTACCACAACTTTTTCAACCACTTTATTAATGATCGTGCCAAATCAAAGTGAGACACATAAAATGGGACGGGGGTAGTAATTATTAGGTAAAGACTAAAGACTTGGAAACCACACACTTGTTGATGAAGGATGATGCATTGGACCACAAGAACGAAACTACAAGAGCAATGATCAAGACATGGCAGACCAGTGTTAGAAGGTGGTACTCAAGCAGTTCAAATAGAACCCAAATAGTGGTAACTCCACCAAGGAGTCCAGCAGATATCTTCTTGTTCCTCCACAAAAACACATCAGCAGCTGCACCAATTAGGCAACCAATGAAACCGGATACTAATTTGAATAATATTCGCCTATTAGTCTATTACAAAATAACTGTATTCCTTCTCCAAAAAGTCAATCTTCAATCAGATAGCAACAAAAACTTCCAAATTTCTCTCTTAAATAATAGATGGTCTTCACCAACAAAAAGATTATAGAGGAAATTCGTAAAAGGATTAAATTATCACACATTTTCACAAAATATGATTCATTCACTCTTACAAGAAGATGCTTTAAGTATTTTTACTCTTTTATTAGCACTGAATGAACCTTATTTTAGGATAAACATGAAAACTCTGATTTATACACTTTGTTCATGTTTCAATCCAATTGAAAATTTCTCAATTTTAAGAATATAAAGCTTACCGAAAATTTCCATCATTTGCAATGGAGTCAATGCTTCACTGTTTTTTGGCTTGGGAATATGATGGAATAAAGCAAAATGGCTCACTAAACTATTTGCGCTTCTTTGTTATACATTTTGTGGGAGCCATCTGCCCCCCCCCCCCCCCCCCCCAAATGGGTCATGATGATAAAAGCTTCCTAAAAGTTAAAGGGAGCTACGGCACATAACAAACTATGGAGTAAAATATATTCCCTAAATCAGTTAAGCAGCAAGCCAGAAACGTAACACTCCGAGCTTAAGAAAGCAATCACAGACAAATAGAGCTGCCCAGTAAAGTTAATAATCAGAATTGCGAACAATTAGTCAATTTTAAATACATACAGATCTAGTTACATAGTTTAAGCACCTTAAGCCCATAACCCACCTCATCCACCACCAAAACAAAATTAGATTGCAATTCGGTCAAAACATCTGATAAGCTGATCATATGATTGTGTAGATATAATATTCAAACAATCAATCATAGCAGAAATAAGAGAGATCCGGGTATTGTCTAGCCCTCTGAACCTCTAATCTCATCTTTCAACTACCAGAAAATGAACAAAAATTCAATATTTGAAGAAAAAGGTAATAAAAAACAACCCTAATATGGAAATCAATGTGTAGAGTATATAACATGTACATTTCAAGTTTCCAACTACCAGCAAATGAACATTATTTTGAATTAAAGTGTAATAAAAACAAATCCTAATATGGAAATCAGCATGCATATCTATGAATATAAAGAGTGCGTGTAAAAATACATAAACAGCATACGTTTGCCTCCACCGAAAACCTTATGAACCGGTCGTTCCCGGCCGAAAAAGCGCCAAATCTTAGCGTTTTTGGATGAATGTGACGCCTCAGACTTCACGGGCTTTTCGTCAGATTCAGAATCGGAGGAAGAAGAGCTGCCACTCTGGTGAATCTTCTCAGCTATATTCCCCAGGAACGATCTTTCGTGCTGACCCTGATGCTCCCCATGCTCTTCCATTTCCAGGTATGAATCGATTAGCAAAAAACACCCGAAATTCGAAGAATAATAAACTGGTATGACTGCAGGCTATAAGATTGATCGATCCCTTCAGTACCGGTCTGTCTTTATGAATTTTATGAATGGGATAACTATTCAAACATAAAGTCCGGGTCCGAACCGGTTCGGGTCGGACCGCACCGCACCGCTTCAGAGCTTACTGGAACGCCTAGAAGGCTGTAATCCAACTCTACCACACTAACTAGTGGTTAAACATTGATGTATTGGAGTTAATCAGCTACCGCTTAGGGAGTAAGGTGGCCATTTGAGTTTGGTTTAATGACTTTAATCGAACTCAATCACATCAAACCGAATTAGAATTAAATTTGTGTGAATTTAAGAGCCCGTTTGGTAGCACGAAAATCAGCTGATTTAGTTAATTCTGCTGAAATTTATGAAGTTCTGGTTGAAGTGGCTGTATTGGCTGATTCTACTGATTTATGGAAAAAATATTTTTAAAATATATTTTATTAATAAAATAAAGAAAAAATTATATGTAAAAATAGCTAAAATGATCATCTACAGTAACTTCAGCCAATACAGCTAGAAAAGTAACTTCAACCTTAATTTTTCTGCTTATTACACAATTCAGCACGCGAAAGCAAAAAATACGTATTTGGTGAAAAAATTGGTTGATAAGCCTGATAACGCCGAAAAACAGTGATTTTATCTAAATGTATTTCTTTCAAATCATATTAAAATCAAAATGAACTGAAATCGAAAAAATCCAACCAAATTAAACAAATTCAAGTGATTTTATCTAGGTTATCTTCTAATGTTGTTTACATGCTCACCGAAATATATTTTGTGATTCACAAAAGCCCGTTTGATAACATCAAAATTAGCCGAATCGACTGATTTTACTGAGTACGTAAAAATAACTATAATGACCATCTATAGTAATTCAAGTCAATATAGTCAGAAAGGTAATTTCAATCTTACTTTTTCTTATTATTACACAATTCAGCGCGCAAAATCAAAAGTCACGTGATTGATAAAAAAGTTGATTGATAAGTTTGATAAATTGAAAAACATGATCATCAAAGAGGCTCTTAAACACATGGTAGTCCGACCTAATATAAACTAGAGAAAATGGAAATTAATAATCCAACCTTTTAGCGGTCTTCTTTTAATAGTCCGACCTTTTCGTTATTCATGAATAATCCAACCTTTGCACCTCATCTTCATTCATTGGTCCCCGAGCGGTTGATCACCTGCTATTCCGAGTTATTTTCTTATCTCTGCAAACTATTATACCATAAATTCCACCTTTCACAAAGATAATATTTTGCAAAGATACGGAAATAACTTGGAATAACAGGTCATCAACCGGTCAGGGACCAGTGAATGAAGATGAGGTGCAAAGGTTGGATTATTCATGAATAACGAAAAGGTGGGACTATTGAAAAAAGACCACTAAAAGGTTGGATTATTAGTTTTCATTTTCCCTATAAACTATACTCGTATCAGGTTTCACATTGATTAAGTATTCCGCGTCATATTTTATTGGAAGAGTTTAATCGTATCTTTATTATTCTAAATTATGCTACCACGTCTCTTAAAACTTTGCCAAAGTTGACTAGTACGGAGAATAATAAAATAAAAATTGTGTGGTTGAGGTTTGTGCAGAGGAGAGAGAAATATCAGAAACCACAAAATAATTGATTAAAAGAGAAAGTGACAAAATTTTTTGGGACGTCCCAAAAAGGAAATATGACAAAGTTTTAAAGGATATGTGTCGTTTACTATCTATTAGTAAATTTACTATAACTTTTCATCGCATGGATCAAGTGTTTAGCTTGCCTTATCCACATGAACGTTTTAAAAGGATATGTGTCGTCTTTTTTTTTATCTTTTTTTTTATTTATATTCCTTTTGTAGACGGTGGTCTTAGAAAAACACACTAGACGGTGGTCCAGGATGCGAGTGAGTAATTGAGGTCTTAGAAAAACAATGTCAAATTAACTTTTCAAATCACGAACAACGGAAATTCATCACTTGGTTGGTCACACCAACGAGAAGTACACAGGTTCTAGACATTGCTAGAAGAACATATCCCATACTTGAAGCGGACAAAACTCTCGGCCAAAAAAGAAGTAAGATCAAAACTTGTGAAGATAGAAATAAAAAAGAATGGAAGCTTAGGAAAACCTTAAATTCTTTAATTCACTACCCAGAAAACATCCTCATTGTTCAAAATCTTACTTTTTGAAGATAATGTTAGAATATGAGATAGCCGCCTATTAGAGATTCCTTTCTTTGTTGCTGGTTAAATTAATTCTCCCTTTTCTGGTGACTGGTGAAGCGGGAATATTTATTTATAATTTTTATTTTCTATTTGGAGTAGCAAGTGCAACAAGACTGTGAGACTATACTATATTATTGCGGGGTTAAGGATATGAAAGGATTCACAAGATATTTTTTTCATTCTATGTGTCATCCCATTGTAGCCTTTGGTTATTCATGATTTCATTCACTAGTCTCTTTCAAGCTCGATGTTTGACAGCCGCCCCTAGGGAAACCTAGGTGGCATGTCCCTAAAATATTCTCCTAAAAACAAAAATTATCTGTATCTCCCTTCTAACGGGTAAATTTCGAAAAACAATTTCTCATTCACCCGTTATCCGTTTTGAGCGTACCATATATTGAATTGTAGCCCTAAGCAAGGACAATCCGAAACCACTTTGACTCGACCCAAATCGGAAGTGGACCCCACTCAAAAAATTGCCCCAAAATAGCCATTTAATGCAATTTTCACACATTTTTCCAACAGGATCTACTTTTCGATGGCTCTTCAAATCGATTGTTCATACAATTTTAATGGGGTCGAATTTTCTTTATTGGTTTTTGGTCAAATCAATTCTCCATTTCCAATAACCGAAAGACAAAAATTTTATTTGTTTTTTTCTATAGATCAATAAGAAGAGCGACAAGACTTTATAGTACACTTAATTATTACGTGATTAGATATGGAAGGAGTCAAGAGATGTTGTTCTATGTTCATCTTAGTTTTAGGCTATTTGTTTAAGTTACTCTATCCCGCTAAGAAGTTCCCGGTTTGACTTACACTTATATTAAGGAAATAAACTTACGAGGGGTGAATTTTACTTTTTGACACTGTTTAGCATTATTTTGATGTAGACAACTCTCCATTAAGGAAGGGGGACTTCTTTTTTAAATTGCTAAAAAGGAAAAGTGAGAACTTTTTAGCGGGACAGAGGAAATATTTGTTTAAGGATGTATATTTGTTTAAGGAAATATTTTTGGTTAATTAGAATTCCATTCGAATTAATGAGGCTACCAGCATCCTCTCTGAACACTTGATAAGTTGTATTGGTATCATCACTTGATTCACTTCCCACCGATCGTCTCCTTCTTAATTCGAATTAACAATTAAGGTGATCATCAATCCCGAAATTAAATTGAGTTAAATGACAATATAAAAGTTTAACTTCTTAATATTAATAATTTAATACTCCGTAATATTTAACACAAGAAAAGTTATTCCATTATACCGGAGACCGGAGTATATGGCTGTCCTCCGACGGCCGTACTCACTATTATCCGGCGGCCGTATTTATGTCAATTATACTATATACACATATACACGCCGTCCATCGTCTATATATATCTATATGAGATCAGACTGGGAAAGGAAACTTTGGACTGATTTAATTTGCGGAGGCGGTGGAGAAGAGCGAGAGGCTGGGGAGCTTGATTTCGCCGGAGTGGGAGAGCGGGATGGTGATGTTTCCGGCGACGGGAAGGTCAACGACGAGGCTGAGCTCGAGCTGATAGTCAATGTCCCAGTCTCGACCGATATCCCGAGCCAAGCTCACGACCACGCTGTGCGGCACCTTCACCGGCACGTCGAACTCCGTCGTCTCCTTCCCCTTCACCGACCCGGGGTCCGGGACGGTGCCGGAGGCTATCACCCTGCCGGCGCTCTTCAGGACGTACCCGATCTCGCAGATGGGGATGGAGACCGGGAATGGGTTTTTCACGGAGACCTTGGCGTGGTATGAGATTCCGTCCATGCCGATGCCCTTGACGTCGACGTCGGTGATGCTCGCCTCCGGTTTCTCCATCTCGGCAAGCTTTCCGGTCACCATGTTCTTGGCCTTTCCTACTAAATCCATTTTATTTTTCTTAAATTATTGAGAATCTACCTACGGTTGTAAATGCAAGCCCCACGTACTCCACCCCCTTATATATATATAGAGAGAGTAATCTTCCCGGTGGTATTTTTTGACTGGGTTTTTATATGTATACTTTGACGCAGTCAACTTCAAAAAATTATTTGAATGCCTTCCCGATCGAATTTTGAGCTGAAATTTGGTATGGATAAACTAGACTTCATGAAGAACATGCTCAAAAAATTTCATCAAACAATTCTATCGGGAAGTGCCCGAAATGCCCTCGGCCGGACGGCGGTTCCCGTCAGGCCGGCTGGACAAGAAAAGGACTCTATATATATATATATATATATATATATATATATATATATATATATATATATATATATATATATATATATATATAGAGGAATGTTCATGTCAGGCCGGCCTGACGGGCTGCCCCGTCCGGCCGAGCCCGTTTGGGCACCTTCCCCGTCAGGCCGGCCTGACATGAAGTTTCCTCTCTCTCTCTCTCTCTATATATATATATATATATATATATATATATATATATATATATAAACATGAAACCAAAAAATCAATTTCCTCTTTCTTATTTCACGTCTTACAATACAAAATAAGTATTGTCCCTTTTTATTTAGTCAAACACTATTATTCAACTCTTGTTCAATTTTCACCGATTATATATTAAAAAGTACATTAAATGTTATATTGATTAAAACGCGCGAATGTGAGAAATTTGTATACAAAATTAGAGATCAAATAAATAGCCAATGATATAGAGTATGTTTGGTATATCAAAATTGACAGAATTGATTCGTTCTGCTAAAATTTATGAAATTGCAGGTGGAGTGACCGGATTGACTGATTCTGCTGAATTATGTAAAAATTATATAAAAAATGTATCTTATTAATATAATAAAGGAAAAAATATGAAAACAGCTAAAATAGTCTTTTATAGTAACTTCAGTCAATACAGCCAAAAAAGTTAGGTGTTTGGTAAAAAAGTTGGCTGATAAGTCTGATAAACCGAAAGGGTTGAAAACCATGGTCATCAAATGGCTCCATAATCGTTTTCAAGCAGGTTATGGTTCGATAACATTTTCATAACAATCTCAATATATGATGATGTTATATACTACCTATATTCAAAATTTATCTCAATCAACAGTGTTGAACACCGGTCATCCACACTATTGATTGCCACAAATTTTCATAAGGAGTTGGGGTGCATAGTCCAATTTGAACAATAAAATGGGTGTGCAAACTCAAATTTCCCCCTAAATAAATGAATCGAAGTTTGCCATCTATTTTTGACCGAAAAATCAAATATTACTAAATAAAAAGGACGTAGATAGTATTATATACGTACTACACACGGAATAATAGTTTCTCATATTCATATATGACTATTTCAGTTTTATAATAAAATATTCTACTTCGTTCCTTAAAACTTTGTCAATTTTCCTTTTTGAAGATTCCCACTAACTTTGTCACTTTCCCTTTGGAGTAGAAATTCATGGTTCCAGTTAATTCTCTCTCCTCTTTACAAATCTCAATCACACAATTTTCTTTATTAATCTCTGTGTTAGTCAAACTTGATAACGTTTTAATGGGCGGAGGGAGTAAAAAATTAATATAAATATTTCAGTTACTTATATCGACATATATACCTCATACGTAGTATTACCTCCGTCTCACTTACATTGGAACAAGAAGGGGTGACACGGTTATTAAGAATACTCAAATTATGTGGTTAATTGATAAGTCCGTATTTTGACACGTATTTGATGCGTGTTGGGATCGGTTTTGATGGTTTACCCTAGCTTTAAGGTGTTGCAAGTCTCAATTTTAGTTCAACTTATGTTTACCGGGCGTTGGTTCGAGTTTTGTGTTGTTTGTAGTCAAAATCAAGGAATTTGAGCCCGATACCGGCACTTGAGGAACAATCGGGATGATTTGAGAAGCATTTGAGAATGATTTGATAGCTTTGGAGGTCACCGGAAGATTCACGATGAAGATTTGAAGGAAAAAGAGCTCTAGGATTGGCTTCGGGATCAAAAGAAGATGAATGAAGCTTGAAAACGACGATCAGAATGACCTTATGTCAATTGTTCAAGCTTCTCTCTTTGTAGGAATAACCAATGGACACGATTCAAGTTGCATAGAAAAGCCAACTTCAAGGGCTACAAATCATATGAAGACACCTTTGCGAGCATCTGAGAGGAAGAAGGTGAAAACAGACGATGCAGTCAGATGATCTCTGTTGCGATTTCAGAAAGACACCTTCCACCGTTTTGATCATATCTGTTGATTGGATGATTCAAATCATATTCGGAAAATTAGGGTGGATAGAGGACTTCATTATCTACAACTTTCATGAATGAAGTTTTGTCAAATTCGGAAGCTTTACGCACGCCGTGCGTAGGGGAACGCACGACCATGCGTCTGAGGCAAGAAAGCAAGGAAGATACTGCCAGCAACGCACGGCCGTGCGTGGGGGGGACGCACGCCGTGCGTTCCATATTTTTACGCGGCTATGCTCCGGACGCACTGGGGGACACACGCCATGCGTTGTCCCTGTGCGTTGCCCCTGGAATCCTAATTTCGCCCGAATTACTCCGTTTTTCCTATTTAAACAGCCTGTAAACCCCGTTTTCGCGGGGGGGGGGGGGGGGGGGGGGAGCTTAGAGAGAGTGCCTAGCACGAAGTTCCAATCTTTTTGGATTCTTTGTAAGTTCCACCTTTTTAATTAATGACAACTAATTCTTTTTATTCCAATTCTATTGATTCTTCAATTATGAATTGTGAGTAGTTTTAATTAGGGATTTGGGATTGATGAAGGGGTTAATCATGATGTATGGCTAGATTCTTTTCGGTTTAATTGCATGAATGCCGTTTAATTTGTGTTTGAATAATTTAATTGATATCTTTTGTAACCTAGAATCGCGACTAGAATTACAATTGCATATAGAATAAATTAAGAGAGATCTAATTTGTTCTAGGACACATTCACACACGCTTAATCGTTCGCTAAGAGATTAGTAGCGATTAAGGGGCCGTAAGCTCGCTCGTCTTGGCAATAATTTAGGATCCTGTCGCATGAGAGATCAGCCTGGTCCCCTAAATTATTGTACTCTACGCCGCGAGAACGGTAAGAACTTAGTAATGATTAGCTAGGCTCAATTAAATTAATTTCATGTAATTAGGCCTGATCTGCCAGAAATTTGGTTACCCCGAAATCGATCGATGTTCCCTTCGTCATTAATTAGAAAGAACCCCCTAGTTTAATTGTTCGCATTAGTTTTATTTTCCAAACCAACCAATCTCGCACGACGCTTTTATTTTATTTTCTTTTTAATCGCTTAATTTAATTAATTCTTGATTCCTTTTTGTCCGTCCCTGTGGAGACGATACTCGTACTTACACCACTATATTACGATCTATTTTAAGTGCGAGAAAACTCACATCATTAATATTGAATAGATAAAAATAATAATAAAGCAAAACTAATTTAGAATCACATAAAATTTGCCAATTATGGTATGAGCTATGCGAGAATCTTAGTAAAAAATTTCGAAAAAAAGAATTAAGGAATGGGAGAATTATTGCTTGATGAAGAGAGTAGTGTCTATAATACCAACCGTAGCTAACTAGAGATGATAAGAACATACACGTGGAAGAGCTAAGGCGTTGGCGCATGCATGGGGAGTCAACAGTCAACGCTGAAGCTACTACAGGCATCATGCATGTTTTCTGTGGTTGACACGTGTAGCTTTACAGGCATGCAATCGTACATCTGCTCATCTTGTTGGCTAATGGCTACCAGCAGGCCCGGCCCATCCACCCGACCTGATCCATCAAGTACCGTTCATGTCTCAAAAGAAATATGAGTAATATACTAGAGTTATACACTTATACTTCACTCATTAGCAAATAAATTATATATGCATGTTGGTCCAAAATAGGACGCTCGTAAGTTTTTAGGAAAGCTACGTAAGAACACTCAAGCAGGAATTAGAAAGTAAGAACGAATATGGAAAGTAGTTAGGAGGTTTAGTTGCCAGAAAGTAGCGTATAGAAATTGGCTCCCCTAAACTGAATTTCAACCTGTCTTTTATAGGCGTTTACAAATCGTAACCGCTATCGATAATAATGATTAATTAATTACAACATTAATACGGAATTAAATACATAATTAAACAACGCATTAATTGCTTGACCGTTACTCTTCCTGGCTGGCAGGTGGACCGGACTGGCAGGCTCCCTGCTGGGCTGGTAGGCAGGCTCCAGGTTGTGGACTTGAATCCATGGGTCCAAGTTCTAGGCTTGTGCCGATTAGGCTCTGGGCCTAGTCCCATAACTCCATCAGAGTCTCCCACTCCCTTAGTCGAGTAGTAGACTCGGCTAAGAGGGAGTAGTCCAAGTCAGCTGTCCTTCTCTGAGACTGGAAGATCTCTGCCCTTGTTCATGGGGAGATGCCTCATTAAAAACCTTTATTAGGAAAAAACCCAATGGGAAAAAATCTCAATGAAGGGAAAAAGAGTACACCTGATGGCCCCAAGATGAAGCAAAAGGTGAAATCTTCAGCCTTTATTGCAATGATCACCATCAGCGAAGAGGATGGCTAGAACCGTTCTTCTCATCGAGCTCGGACTCATCAAGCTCGTCTTCGTTCAGTCGTACCTGCACATAAAAGCAACAAGTGTAGAATAGAGCATTTGGCCTGGTGTCGAACCACAACTCAGTGAGTAAGTGAGTCAGACTCGCCACTCGAAAAGAGTGACATCAAGTTCCCAAGTTAGGTCTCAACCCGGCCTCCGAAGAAAGATTGAATCCGCCAGTAAGTGAGTCGGACTCCCCACTCGAACAGATAATCCAACCCCAAAGAACTAAAGTATATCAACCTTTTCAGGAAATGTGAATGTCAATTAAGTGACAAAATTGCTCGAAAGGGCGTGACTCTAGGCCCTTAACAAGAGTTTAACTCACCGCCCGAGGTTAGTAGTTCGAACCCGCATGTAAAGACTTTTGAACGGGTGACTCGTC